AAAAAAAAAAAAAGAAAGAAAGTTACTAACAGTGTACATGCATTGTATCTGATGAGCAGTCACACGCACTAGGAAGAGACATAAGCAAATCCACCTCTGTTCAGGTCAAGCTTTACTACCAAATGAGTTCAAGAAAACTTTCATTTTCAGAACGTTTTGGACTTTGTCATTGTACTAAGAATGTGGGCTGTGAAGTATGTGGTTAATCACTGCTCTAATAGTGTTTTGGGGAAGAAAGTCAGCTGTAGTTATCAGAATTCTTAAATCCTCATGTCAAAATAATTACTTTGGATATATTCTTTTTTTGGGGGGGGGTTATAACTTTATTTGATGTGTCTGATAATTACCAGTTAGTTGTTATCCACGTTGACTGTCTGTAGATTTTTTTAAAGTGGTAACAGGTCCATAGGAAACCAAAGCATACAGCTTGTTTGGTGAATCTTCATTCATTACGTTTTCTGGACAATCACATATGGATACAGTCTGGGACATTCCCTATGCCTTTGGCCCAGACAGCTTTGTTGAGCCTGGTATCAGTGGGCACAGCTGGAGTGCCCGTCTCTCTCACGGCAAATTTCCGGATCTCTTTGAGTGCCCAGGGCACGCTCTTGAAGCCCACTCCATGGATGCACTTGTGAATATTGATGGTGTATTCTCGAGTCACCACCTCACTGATGGCAGATCAGCCCTTCTTCTTGCCACCGTTCCTTGCGGGCGCCATTCTGCCAAGCCCAGGTTGGAAAGACCCCAAGATATATTTTAAATAGATACATGTTTAAATGTATAAAATGAAACACAAAAGTTGTAGTAGTAGGAGAGTTTTCTTTTTAAATAATATCATTCCGGAAAGGTATTTCTAAAAATGATACAAAACCAGAAAGCCGTAAAATAATAGGTCCATTGATTCAACTACGTAAATGTTAAAACATCATCAACAGAGTGATAAAAATGAGGAGGAGTATTTGCAAGTCATATGATCAAGTCATTAAAATGTCAAGAACTAATTAACAAGAAAAAGGCTAAAACACAATTTTAAAAATAGGTAGTGGCTCACACCTGGAATCCTAGCACTCTGGGAGGCTGAAACAGGTGGATTGCCTGAGCTCAGGAGTTCAAGACCAACCCAAGCAAAGTGAGACCCTGTCTCTACTAGAAAAAAAAAAAAAAATAGAAAAACTAGCTGGACATTGTGACAGGCACCTGTAGTCCCAGCTACTCAGGAGGCTGAGACCAGAGTATCACTCCAGCCCCAGAGTTTGAGGTTGCTGTGAGCTATAACACCATGGCACTAAATCCCAGAGTGACTGAGACTGCCTCAAAAATAGATCAATTAAATAAATAAATAAATGCAAATTATATGAACAATGGAGTATATGCAGTAATAGACAAGAATATGGAAGCTCTTTACACACTGATACGAAATGATCTTTAATATAATTTGCTAAGGTTTTTTTTTTTTTTTGCAGTTTTCGGCTGGGGCTGGGTTTGAACCCACCACCTCTGGTATATGGGGCCAGCGCCCTACTCCTCTGAGCCATAGGCACCGCCCATTTGCTAAGGTTTTTAAAAGTGCAGGACAGGCCAGGGGCAGTGGCTCATTCCTGTTATCCTAGCACTCTGAGGGGCTGAGGTGGGAAGACTGCTTGAGCTCAGAAGTTCGAGACCAGCCTGAGCAATAGCAAGACCCTGTCTCTACTGAAAAATAGAAAAATTATGGCTCACTGCTTGTAGCTCAGTGGCTAGGGTGCCAGCCACGTACACTGGAGCTGGCAGGTTCGAATCCAGCCCAGGCCAACTACAACCAAAAAATAGCCAGGCATTGTGGCCTGTAGTCCTAGCTGCTTGGGAGGCTGAGGCAAGAGAATTGCTTATGCCCAAGAGTTGGAGGTTGCAGTGAGCTGTGATGCCACGGCACTCTACCAAGGGCAACATAGTGAGACTCTATCTCAAAAAAGAAAAAATAAATAGCCAGGTATTGTGGGGGGGGGCTGAGGCAGGAGGATCACTGGTACTCAAGAATTTGAGATTATTGTAAACTAAGCTGACACCATGGTACTCTGGACTGTCTCTAAGTAAATAAATAAATATTAAATAAATATGTGTGTTTATAATCGTCCAGGAAAGGATCTGAAAAAAAATATATAGCAAGAACAGTAGAACCTCCATAGTTGACCACCCCCTACATTGGCCACCTACTTAAGTTGACCTAATTTCCGTAGATGGGACATGCACCACCTATTGCACAGCAGGCCTAGATCCTCCTGTTGACCACCTTCGTCTGTCGATCAGTTTGTTACAGTCCCTTGGGTGGTCAGCTTGCAGAGGTTCCTGGTGAAGGCATGAAGATGGGAAGCAGATTATAAAGGGGTATTGTGGGTTCTATCTAAGAAGCAGATTCTGAGATGGAGATCAGAGTGTGAAAGGTAACTGTGGGGAAGAAAGGAGACAGGGCAGGATTAGGGAGCCATCAGGCCACCAGGCGACCTGATAGTTTTTCAGGCCAGCAGTCCCTGCACCGGGCTGGCTCGGCTGGGCTGCTCGGCTGGGCTGTTGGTCAGTCATGTCCTGAGGCTGCCCAGAGAGAAGCTCTGGCCTTAGCTCAGCAGCTGTGTGGATCCTAAAGGGGCTAGCAGGCTCGGCGCCTGTGGCTCAAGTGGCTAAGGCGCCAGCCACGTACACCTAAAGTGACGGGTTCAAATCCAGCCAGGGCCCGCCAAACACAATGATGGCTGCAACCAAAAAATAGCCAGGCGTTGTGGCGGGTGCCTGTGGTCTCAGCTACTTGGGAGGCGGAGGCAGGAGACTCGCTTGAGCCCAGGCGTTGGAGGTTGCTGTGAGCTGCAATGCCACAGCACTCTACCCAGGGGGACAGCTTGAGGCTCTGTCTCAAAAAAAAGGGGGGGGGGGCTAGCAGCTGGAGGGACTGTCCTCACATCTTGGCTACAAGTTCTTTTTTGACGTGGGATTTGAGTGCTGCATCCTTTATAACAAACTTTTTCATTTCACTTCAAATAAAACAAAGAAGGCAATGCCCATAGCTCAGTGGGTAGGGTGCCAGCCACATACACCAGGCCTGATGGGTTTTGAACCCAGCCCAGGCCAGCTAAACAACATTGGCAACTGCAACAAAAAAATAGCCAGGCATTGTGCCGTGCGACTGTAGGGAGGCTGAGACAAGAGAATCACGTAAGCCCAAGAGTTTGAGGTTGCTGTGAGCTATGATGCCACAGCACTCTCTACTGAGGGCAACAAAGTGACACTCTGTCTCAAAAAAATAATAATAATAAAATAAAATAAAAATAAAACAAAGAAAGGAAAACAATGTGGTTGGAGCCTAATCGCTTGAGGAGCATTTGGCTGAGGCAGAACAGACTCACCTTGACTTTCACCATCTCTCTCCACAGATCCGTCTGGCTGGTGGACGGGTCGACTACGAGGCAAACAGGGCCTGTTCCCCAACAACTACGTGACCAAGATCTGAGGCACCCAGAGACTGATGCATGGGGTGGAGGAGCTCCAGGCGCAGACAGGGGAGGGACCATTTGGGGGCTCCCCTTCCTATCCACAGTGAGCAATTGCTTCTCCAAAGCTTGGAGCTATTCTGGCACCTTCCCCGTGGAGGACATGCTAAAGTCTGGGTTGGGGACTGGGCTTGTGTAGCCCAGGAGCGCCCACTGACCACGTGCTCCAGGGCTGGTGGGTTCAAACCCAACCCGGGCCTGCTTAAAAAAAAAAATAGTCTGCGTTGGGGACAGAGAGTGTCGCTCCATAAATGATACTCAAAGGTAGCCTATTCATAGTAACCCAGGAGGGCAAAACAACCACCAAGATTTATTTATTGTATTTAAACCTGGTGAGAGGACAAGCGAGGTCTGCCCAGACCTTGTTGGCTTCTATCAAAACAGTCCCCTGCCTGCTCACCAGTCCCGGGAAACGGCTGGAGGCGGCCGCTGACAAGTGCCTTTAGTTGAAGAGCACATTTCTTTTGTCCCTTTTGTCCATGCCTGACACACATTCCTCTTGGCCACCTTCCCTCAGGGAGGACCCTCCCTCTGCAGGCTGGGCTCAGCGTGAGTGGCACGTCCCGTGCAGATGCCAACCCGGGCTGGCCCGCTGAGCCTGCGGCAGAGGGGCACTGGTTTACACTTCGCCCGGACCACAGGGCCGCTGAGCAGGACAGGGACCGGGGTTGGGCTGTTGGCCTTGCTTTCTCTGGGTCTTCAATTGGAATGTGGCTGGCCCATGTTGGTTTTGTGTTTAAATGCTGTACTTATTCCAAGAAGGATCTCTTTTCTTCAAGCTGTACATTTATAAAAACAGATCATATACTGTATATACAAAAATTTCAAGATGGTAGAAACATGTATGAATGTACTGAGTAGTATCCCACTGTACTCGTCCATAAGGTAGGTTTTATTACAAAACTCACACCAGGTACTTACAAGTGTGCCCTGCTCCTTTCCAACTACAGAAACAGTGTCACTGCTTTCTGGCTCAGTCCCTGCAGACCCTTCTCAACCTTCTCCCTATAGGTCATTTTCCTCTGATCCGCCTGCACACCCTCCCCCACCTCTCAGATAAATAAAGGAATCAGTGAACCACCTTGTTCTTTCATGACCTTTGTTAGGGGTTGAATCGTGTGCCCCCAAAAGACGTTACAGTCCCAGTCCCTCAGAATATCACCTTATGTGGAAATACAGTCTTTATAAGAGGTAAGAAAACTAAAAAGGAGTTAGCTTTGATAAAAGGACATTTGGACACAGAGACCAACCGACACACAGAGGGTGGAAAGGGAAGAAGGAGGCAGGCTGCCCTGTGTGGTTGTCGCCTATAATCCTAGCACTTTGGGAGGATTAAGGGGGAAGGATCCCTTGGGACCAGGAGTTCAGGACTAGCCTGAGAATCCAGGGAAAACCCATCTCTACCCCCCAAAACAGAAGGAGGCAGAAGATTGCCAGAGCACATCCTCCCCCACAGCCCTCACAAGGAACTGACCCTGCTGGGCCCTTGATCCCAGACTTCCAGCCTCTAGAACTGTTAGACACTAAATTTCTGTTGTTTGAGCCACCCAGGTTGTGGTTCTGTTACCGCAGCCCTAGCAAACGAACACAGGTTTATTGGAAAGCTGGAAACAGTGTGATGTGTGTCATTAAAGGAATGGTTCTAGGAGGACACTGACATCTCTCTACCGCTCCTTCCAGTTGCCATGACCAGTCTTAAGCTGCTGGGAAGTTAGCGTCTGACCAACATACAGCTTTGTGTCATTTCAGGATCCTCATGTCCACAGGAAAAAAATTATCCAGGGAGGAGGATGAGTGTGCTCCCACTTAATGGGCACAGTTTTAGGGTGTATGACACCTCTTGGGGGCGGGACACAATTATAAGAGGGACTCTACCTAACAAGTGCAAACATTGTAACCTATTTCTTCGTGCCTTCAAATTAACCTGAAATATAAAAAATTATCAAGGGTTATATACAAGGAGAAAAATATATCTGGATTTGGAACAAAGAGAAACTAATTCAAACTTTATTCCATAACAATAACATAATGCTGCAGGCGTCCTCAAACTTTGGCCCAGAGGCTACATGCAGCCTGCCTAGGACATTTATCCAGCCCGCTGGGTGTTTTTGCCGTCACTGCCTGTCCTGCTTAGCAACCGACTCGTCCCAGGGCCCGCAGTCCGGCCCTCCAAGGGTCTGAGGGACAGTGAACTGGCTCCCTGTTTAAAATGTTTGAGGACCCCTAGCTTAAAGGATCTTTCAGTTCCATTTTGTGAGAGTTAGGAGAGAGGGGAAGAAATAATGTGATGAATTGGGGAAAGGCGATCCTAGTGACCCTACCTAACAGTCTCTCAGCGTTTTACAAATTACTCTCATGTTCATGGGCACAAAGTGGGAGGAGGGAAGATAGGATAAGACTTGGGAAGAAGCATGGGTGCCCAGCAGCTGCCAAAACACAGGCTGCTGATGCCCAGGTCGGGAACCTCCAGACCAGTCCCACCTGGTTCTGATAAGCCCCTAGATGGCTAGGACAAGGCTTTTGCATTTTCTCCAGATGGGCATTTTTTTGTTGTTTTGTTTTGAGATAGAGTCTCACTTGGTCACCCTTGGTAGAGTGCTGTGGCATCACAGCTCATAGCAACCTCAAACTCTTGGGTTCAAGTGATCCTCTTGTCTCAGCCTCCCACGTAGTTGGGACTACAGGCACTCACCACAACCCTGGCTATTTTTTAGAGACAGGGTCTTGCTCTTGCTCAGGCTGGTCTCAAATCTGTGAGCTCAGGCAATCCACCCACCTCGGCCTCCCAAGTGCTAGGATTATAGGCATGAACCACCACGCCCGGCACAGATTGGCATTTTAAACATGTATATAACTGGGAACCCTCAGGCTCCTGGTGACAAAACAGGAACTGATTTAAACACCCCCACCAGTAGCACTAAGAACTCTCCTCCATGGAAACCACTGACGGCCCCTTCGTCACCTGCTTCCATGTGCTAGCCAAACAGTGGTGAATAGGTGAGGAATTCATGTTCATAGGTGACAAAGGCTTAGATCCCCAATAGAGATGCTGAAATTCTGGAGCTAGTCATTAAAAAGAAAAGTTTGGAGAAATAGTAGTTTATTCTTAAACTGAGTTCTATACATTTTGAAATTTAATATGAGGACTACAAGAAAAATCTAGGATGGATAAATAGCATCTCCCTTTTTTCCCCAATTAAAAAGTCTTTGCAAAAATGCCCTTTTCCCTTTAGCATCTTCAAGTCACTAACCTAGGTTTCCTCTGGTGTCTGGACCCAGCCAGACCTGGACTCCTGTTCACTGTCCAGTTGAACAGACATTAGTTCAAGAGTTACCTACCATCCTGTTTGAAATAAGAGGCGTTCATATGCACACACAACTTGTCGCAATATCAAATGCAGTATCAAGATGCACAGGTCCCTTCATCCAAAAGTTAGCAATGAGCAGGCCTGCCCATGAGTCTTAGGGGAGATGAGCTCACACTTTAGCTGTAGAGCAACACCCAGCTATTTTTTTGTTGTTGTCATTGTTGTTCAGTAGGCCCAGGTGGGGTTCAAACCCGCCATCCCTGGTGTATGTGGCCAGCACCCTAGCTGCTGAGTTACAGGTGCCAAGCCTACCTATCAGAAATTAAAATGGTTTTGTTTTTTTTTTTTTGAGACAGTTGCACTTTGTTGCCTCTGGTAGAGCGCTATGGCATCACAGCTTACAGCAACCTCAGACTCTTAGGCTTAAGGGATCCTCTTGCATCAGCCTCCGAAATAGCTAGGACTACAGGTGCTCCCCACAACACCTGGCTATTTTTAGAGACAGGGTCTCACTCTAGCTCAGGCGAGCTGCCCGCCTCAGCCTCCCAAAGTGCTGGGATTACAGGCGTGAGTCACTGCACCCATCTAAAAAACATTTTTAAAACATTAAAATACATAAACATTCAACTAGCTGCCAGAGTAATGCCATCATTACATGTCCTGTGGCCTCTGGAATATTCTACCATATAATACTGAGAGAGTGAAAGTAGGAAACAACATCCTTAGTATTATGAAAATAGTTTTGACCTCCTGACGTCTTCCAGAGCTCCCAGGCCACACTATGAAGGCCATCGGGCACGGTAAGTGCTGCTGGATGGGACACAGCAGAGAGCAACTGTGAAGCAGGACTGAAATCATGAACAGAGAGGCAGAGTGAAGCCTTCCATGTGCATTTGATCCCCCTCCAGGAGGATTCTGGCCCATCCTGATCAAACCTAACAGGCCACCGTCACCAAGCCGAGCCCCCAAAAGGGGGAAAGAGGATGAACAGCGCAGTTTCTGTTTAAAAGGGCATGCCCCGGAAACTGCACACACCCAAGCCAGAACGCAATCACGTGGACCCAACTCAAGGAGGCCTGGAGGGGAGGGGTTGTCTCTGCAGAAAGCTAAGCAGTTTGCCCACAACGCCAGGCTAGAGGGCTGCTCCCAGCTGGAGCGGTTCACAGGAATAAACAGGAGACAAGACAGATTAGCATCCGTGACTTAGTCTGCACTGGCTACCACACAGCCAGCTTATACACAGCCCGAATTCTTTCCCTTCCCACTCCCAGACCTCGCCTGAGTGGTACTAGTCAAAGCAAGTCTGGCCCTGCCTCCAGTTGCTACCACTTCCTGCATAGGTGGTGTTCCAGTTGATATTTCACTGACTGTAGGGCTGGACTCCAGTTTCCAAGACAGTCAGGACCAGAGTGGGCACAGTGCATCTTGGGTGGAAAGCTTCACCCTATCTCTGGTGGCTCGAATCTGCTCAAAGGAGCAGCGAGCCCTTCTGCAGTGCTGTCCCTTCTCCCCCATTGCTGGGCCCCTCCCAAGGACGCTCCAGCTGCACTTCATCCTGAACTAACCTTCTATTGCTCATCTTGATGCCCTTCCTCTGCTGTGCTTTCTCTTCCCCCTCGGAGCTCCCTTCTAACACAACGCTGTGTCTCCTTCTGGTTCACTACCTTGCCCACTATCACACAGTTCCTGTGGGGAGCCATCACTGGAATCTGATCTGACTCCAAGGCTCATGCTTTTAAACAGTCTCTTAATTCAATAGATATTTACAAATTTGAAAGTCTAAGCATCAGCCTTTAAACTTCCAATATCTTAAAAAAAAATCTAAAAACAAAATTGGACTGATTCTTGATATCAGGAAAATTTTAAAAAATTTTTTTTGGAGACAGTGTCCATAGCACAGGCTAGAGTGCTATGGTGTCACAGGTCGCAGCAACCTCAGACTCCTGGGCTCAAGCAACCCTCTTACCTCAGCCTCCTGAGAAGCTGAGGCTACAGGTGTCTACCACAACGCCTGGCTAGTTCTTCACTTTTTAGTAGAGACAGGGTCTTGCTCTTGCTCAAGCTGGTTTCAAACCCCTGACCTCAAGCAATCCACCCATCTTAGCTTCCCAGAGAGCTAGGATTACAGGAATGAGCCACTGCGCCCAGCCAAAAAATGGTAAGAAATTTTTTAAAAAAGGAATAAAGGCTCGGCTCCGTGGCTCAAGTGGCTAAGGCACCAGCCACATACACCTAACGTGGCGGGTTCGAATCCAGCCTGGACCTGCCAAACAACAATGATGGCTGCAACCAAAAAATAGCCGGGCGTTGTGGGGGGCACCTGTGGTCCCAGCTACTTGGGAGGTAGAGGCAGGAGACTCACTTGAGCCCAGGAGTTGGAGGTTGCTGTGAGCTGTGAAGCCACAGCACTCTACCCAGGGGGATAGCTTGAGGCTCTGTCTCAAAAAAAAAAAAAAAGAAAAGAAAAAGAAATAAAAAACTCATAAATCGAACAGTTAAAAACTTGTAAGGTCCTCTTTAATGGGCAAGAGTTGCATCCACCATCTCTCTGAATCCCCAGAGTCCATCTCTTTCCAAGACCATCAACTCTCTTAAAAAACAGCTGCTAATGTTCAAGTGTTTCTTTTATAGTAGATACTGTGCTAAGTGCTTGACATACTGTATTTAATACAACAATCCCATGAGGTAGATACTTATTCCCATTTTACAGGTACAGAAACTGAGGTGTTGAGGCCACACAACTGCAAACTAAGTAGAATCAAACCCAAGCAACCCACCTTCAGAGTTTGTGCTTGTCTATACGGTGGTTACATCATCTTCTAATTTCAGTGTTTTTATGATGTTACGGTTTCTATTTTTACTATTTATTTCACATTTACAACACTTTAGTTTGGAGTGCCTGTTGTGGCATGCAAGGAATCATCTGAAAGGCCTTGTTTTACAGCATTCTAGAGGGATTTCCTGAATCAGAACATTTAACATTTAACTACATACGTCAGAGGAAGCTATCTGTGTCCTTGGGATATACCTACAAAGTACATGCTTTCTCGGAGAGAGCAGAGCTCAAGCATCCCTGGGAGATCACTGCTTGTCAGGGCCAGGGGGCCCCTTAAGGGTCTCACTTCCCTACCACCCAAATTGCGACCTAAGTGGGTCTGGAGCTGCCATGGGAACAAGCTTTACTAACTCAACAAGGGATATTTATAAACTCTATGCTGGGATTTCAACAAATAAAAATAACTCAATTCCTCTAAATGCTGAAAATTTAAAGATCTACTGATTTACTAGTCAGGCAGTCCTGGCCTATCCAGGAAAGGAGTGAAAATTCAGCCCTAAATGCAGCCAGTTTTTCCTCCCCAGGGGCATTTGTGTCAAGCACACCTGAACCATCGGCCAGGCACTAGATTTCCCTGGGAGCAGAAGGCAGCACATTCTAGGCTGGGGGAAAACTGAGTTAAGTGAGTAGAGCCATTATAAATTGTCCAAGAATTTGCAATTTTCCCAAATATATTTGACTGACTCCTTTCTCTAAAAACAAAGTAACATCTTGTTGGACTAAAATTTGGGACGTTTTTGCTATAAGAGACTGTTTATGGTTTTTGTTTAAGTTAGTGGTTGGAGAATGAAGATGTAATTCCTTCTAGAAAACAATGTTCAATGTGATTAAATGCCCATCAAAAAAACAAAAATAAAACCATTTAGCCCATAATGTAGGAAAACTTAACACTCCAAGTTTGAACTTTAATAGCAGGTCACATGTCTGTTCTCTTTCCCCAGCCGTGGCCCCCGAGCACTGCTCTTCCTGGTCTCAGCCATGCTCTGAGACACCTGTCAGAGGTGACTCTGGGGGTCACTGCCCTCAGGAGCCAAGTGCTCCTATGTAGGGATTGGCAGTGGAATAGGTTTTAGAAAGGAAATTGTCGTGGTTATCTTCTCATTTTAAATTTTCATAATGAATTAGTCTATTCATAATATACTCAAGAAGTTTGCAAATGGGTTTAGTGTTCACTGAAGCCAAAATCTAGTTTTTGCCATCTGAGAAAATGATAGAAAGGTCTTTCCCAAAGCTGTAAGGGTAACAATACTGCTAATAGCTCAAGAAGAAATTAGTCAAAGCAAGCCTCCCTTGAATTTTTTCAGAATATACAAATAAATAACATGGGATACCTTAAGAAAAATCAATAGCTTTATTTTTTCCTCAATATACATTTAGAAAATTGGTCTGAGAAGAGGTTTCATGAAATAGACCAGCGGGTTATGTACAAAGTCAAGAGTTCCAGTAAGAAAAAACTGCATGAATGAAGCACTCAGCCCTGAGGGCCATGCAGCCTAGGCCCTTCCCACCAGAACAGCGGCAAGGTCTTTGATGACTTTAGAGTTCAGTTGAGGGATCGTGCTGATCTTCAGGAGTTTGCTGCTTGCATACTTGTTTTTGACAGCCTGCAGATTAAACACACGTCAAGATCCCCACCTTATACCTCGCTCAGTCTAATTCACAAGTATGGGAGGACCAGAGCCAGACATGAAGCACCCTCATCCCGGGGCAGAGAAAGCTCTGGGCTCATACTGTGTGCCTCACCACTTCCTTCCATCCCAGGAATGAATAAACCCAGCTGGGAGCACAGGTGATGTGGGAACAAATGATTTCAAGGTCCAAGGAGTAGGCTTTCCTCTCATAAGCTACCAGAGAGATGGGAGCTGTGTCTATGACACCTAAGCGCCACCAGGACATGATAGGTTCCCTGGGGCTGGCAGCGACTGGCAATAAAACTGAGTGGCCACTAATGTTCAGCAAATCCCAGACTTGGGGCTGAAGATGCATCCCACTTGCACAGAGCAAACCATGTTGTGAGGACACTTGAAACTCTTCTGCGGTCAAACACCTGGCTCTTTGTCCTCCTCAAACCCTCAGTGTCACATAAGCACAACACAGCACTAAGTTTCCTCTGGCTCCTCACAGGTGGGCCACACAGAGACCGGGCCTCTGATGCCTCCTGCCCAGGCTTCTCCCCCTCTTCCTTTGTCATGCTTGCTAAGCAGGTGTGTGTCAATTACTGCTCCCAAAAGCCCTGAATACCACCACCTGAAAGCTCAAGACTCCCATCTACCACTGGAGGAGGGCCCTGTTCTCCCCACTCACACGCCAACCAGCCTCCTCTGCTTGCTGAGTGCCCTGCTGGGAAGCTGCCATAAACATGGGGTAAATAAATAGTACACAGATCACCTGACTGGCTGTCCAGGAAGTAGGCCTGGACACACTTAGCCTATCAACCTTGTTTTAGACAGTTGGCTTTCAGAGTTTAACAGTACACTCCATCCCCCATTAGACCAGAAAAGGACAAAGAAATTGGTGCAAAAACAAACTCTGACTCACATATGCCAATAATGTATTTACAGAAAAGTGCAAACACACACACATACTACACCCAAAGTCCACAGTCTGATGGGTTAAGAAACAACAGTACTTACGGTGAACTTGGTTAAGTTTTCATTGACTTTCACCACGTTTTTGGCCATGTGCTGCATGACTTCCAGTACTTCGTTCTCTGTGTAACCCGTGTAATACTGCTGCTTTAAGTTCTGAAACACAAGGCACAGACAAGACAGATATCACTGAGGGGCAAGAGAAAGCCTCCATTCTTTTTTTTAAGAGAGAGAATAGTCTTACTCTATTGCCTGATTTAGAATAGAGTGATGGAGTGGCATCGTCAGAGTTCACTGCAACCTTTAACTCTTGGCCCAGGTGCTCAAGTGATCCTTTAGCCTCCTAAGTAGCTGAGACTACAGGTGTACACTACCTCACCCAACTAATTTCTTTCTTTTTTTTTTTTTTTGGTAAAGATGAGTCTGGCTATGTTGCTCAGGCTGGTCTCAAGCTCCTGGCTCAAACAATCCTCTTGAGTTGGCCTCTCAGAGTTCACTAGAATTACAGAAGCAAGTCACGGCCCCCAGCTGCCTTTGCCTCTTGAGAACAGTACATCTTACACATGCTGACATCACTTATGTAACAGCTGGAAAAGAATATTCTTACCTTCTGGAAATTCAATCACAGCCCTAACCACTACCACAGTACCAGCAAAGCTAAAGCATGCAGTAAATGCAGGATGATTCTGGCCCTGAGACAGAGCTAAATTAAGACACTGTGAGGCTCTTTGCTAAATCATAGTGCCAATGGTCCCATATTATTTTTTAAAGAGATTGCACAGGTATGAGCACTTCAAATAACAAAGCTTTCATACCTAACTCTACCACCACACTGCAAAGGATGAAAAATGGCACAGAATTAAAACAGAACTAAACAAACGGAACATCCTAGGGCTCTAGGAGGCTAAGGCAGGTGGACTGCTTGAGCTCAGGAGTTCAAGACTAGTTTCCCTATTTTTAGGGAATGTGGCAGCACCTGTAGCCCCAGCTACTCAGGAGGCTGAGGCAGGAGAATCCCTTGAGCCCAGAAGTTTGAGATTGTTTGAGCTATGATGATGTCACTGCAGCCTACTTAGGGTGATAGAGCAAGATGCTTGTCTCCACAAAAATAAATAAACAAACAAATAAGTGCCCCATTTACAGTGTTAGGCACATCTCACGCCATCAAAGCCCTGTCCAACAACAGCTGATATGAGCTCAAGAGACCAGACATTCCCACTGCCAGTCAGGGACAGTGGTTCAGAATGAAGAAAAAACTATGCTGCTGGCAATAATCTACCAAACCAGAACTAAGACTACCCAGGATTCTCTTGTTGGGCCTAGTAGAGTTAAGCACCAGAGAACAGAGAGAACCCAGGGAAGCCACCACACACAGGTGGTGTCTCCCAAAGCAAAAGTCAAGCACGGGGACAGCTGTCAATTGATAATAAGACCACCATGTATGAAGACGCATAAACCGACTTTATTTCAAAGTTCTGTGATAAAATTCTAAAAGCTAAAGTACATTTCTTTCACATGCATAGCAAAATGAATCACAGTGTAATCTCAGTCTAAAAATAATTTCAAGGAAAGAAAGAGTGGGCAGATATAAACACTGAACTAATGCACAACTACCAGCATTCTGAAATCATTTTCAAGAAAACTGTTTTTTTAGTCCAATGAAGCACGTTTAAGAGCAAATTAACTAAAATCAGTCACTGGTACCACACACAAATGACATTTCTGCCTCAAACGTTTTTTTTTTTTTGGAGACAGAGTCTCACTCTGTCACCCTGGGTAGAATGCCGTGGCGTCAGCCTAGCTCATAGCAACCTCAGACTCCTGGGTTCAAGCAATCCTCCTACCTCAGCCTCCCACGTAGCTGGTACAAGCTACCACACTGGTTAATTTTTTAAGTTTCACTCTTGGTCAGACTGGTCTCAAACTCCTGAGCTCAAGTGATCTTCCCGCCTCAGCCTCCCACAGTGCTAGGATTACCGTTGTGAGCCACTGTACTTGGCAATCATTCTTTTTCTCTTGAGATAGTCTCACTATGTCGCCCCCGGTAGAGTACTCTGGCATCACAGCTCACAGCAACCTCCAACTCTTATGCTTAAACGATTCTCTTGCCTCAGCCTCCCAAGTAGCTGGGACTATAGGCGCCCACCACAATGCCCAGCTATTTTGTTGTTGTTGTTGTTATCATTGTTGTTTAGCTGGTTCAGGCTGGGTTCAAACCTGCTAGCCTCGGTGTATGTGGCTGGCAACCATAACCACTGTGCTATAGGTGCCAAGCCCATCATTATTGTTTTTAACGCTCAAATTTAGTCAGCCAGAGCCCTTTCAAACCAGTTCCTACATCCTTTTGATGGGACCCCATTGACCTTTGAGAATCTGCTTGTTATCTGGCACTGAAATCCGCTATTTCGCTAAGGAGCCCCACCCCTGAGGAGTTGGTAGTGGTATTTAGGATCCAAGACATAGGAGCTAGGTATGCTGCTTACGCTGCTGGGATGCCTTTGTTTCTAAACTCTTGTGCTATGAATTTATTGTTACTTCCCAAACAGACTTAGCATTACAGGGATTTTACTTTATTTCTTTTTTTCTACTTCCTAGGTGAGAAGCAACCTTTTGTCTTAAATCTTGACTATTTTATCTCTTTCTTCTTATAATGGAAATTTTAGTCCTTAATAACATGAATATATTTGCCTTAGTACAATGTATAAAAAATAGTTTCAAAATTATAAAAACATTACTGTTAACAATAAACCAATACACATACTAAGTAAACTTTAGCTTACCACTTGGGGTGTTTTGTTTTATTTTACTTCCCACTAAAGATGCATAGGCAGAATACTATGCTCAAGTTATAGCATCTGAATTAATTCTTTCCTATGTTCAGTGACCAATGGATATATAATTCTATTGTTTATTTCTACTTAATTCCATTTTGGAGTTTGCATAAAACATTATATTGTTCAAGTCAAAAATGTTACATGGTATTACATACAAGTCAATAAAAAGTTATAATCAGAAGTCCTCCCATCCTCAACCTCTGTTCCCACAGAACTCCACAGTATCCTTTTCTTTTTTTTTTTTGAGACAGAGCCTCAAGCTGTCCCCCTGGGTAGAGTGCAGTGGCATCATAGCTCACAGCAACCTCCAACTCCTGGGCTCAAGCGAGTCTCCTGCCTCAGCCTCCCGAGTAGCTGGGACCACAGGCGCCCACCACAACGCCCAGCTATTTTTTGGTTGCAGCTGTTATTGTTGTTTGGTGGGCCCAGGCTGGATTTGAACCCACCACCTTGGGTGTACACAGCTGGCGCCTTAGCCACATGAGCCACAGTATCCTTTTCTATAAGTTTCTGCTTTATTTCTCCTCCATTTAAAAATCAGCAAATACATAAAGACCTATACACACTCTTTCTTACATAAAACGTTAACTACTGAATACCTCTGTGTAGGGGAATGACTCCACCATGCTGCCCACGTGACTGTATCTGTACTCACAGAGGTTCTGTCCTGGCAAAATGCTTTGGAACAGTGGAGAATGGCAGGCTTGGAAGCAGCTGCCTCCTAATCACCTTCTTATTGCCCCTGGGAGGTGGTACAAGACAGTTTCTTCTCCCCCCCGCCCGGGTTCTGATGAAGTTTTCTGTTCTGCTGTGGGGTACAGCGCAGGTTCTAGACAATAGTGTACACAGGAACTAGACTGCAGACAACTAGCTCCTTTTGTTTCTGGGTCATTCTTTTCGGTATGTAACACAAGGACCCAGGGAGCTGGCATCTCTGGCTGCTCAGATGAATCTAGGATGGCTCGTTCTATTTTCACCAGCTACATCAGTTGGGCCTTGGCCTTGCTTTGTGTGCTTGACCACTTAACAAAGTATCCAAGAAATCATGCCTGTCAGTTTTTAGTGACCTACCTCATTCTTTACAACTCAAAAATATATTGTGCACCTTGGTAAAGTCAGTTCACCCCTATTTACATTATTCTAAGCAGCTTTCTTTTAGACTTCTGGACTTTTAACATGTAATATTTCAAGGATAATATTGTGAAAATGATAACGAGTTTCATATCATGAAGGCCTAAAATATAGCCTATTAATTTCCTCTGAAATTGTACACTCACCCATTTTCCTTGGCCCAGAACCTTCTGAGACAAGCAGGAAGCAGCTGCTGCTACCTTAGAAGGGTGATAATGTACCATGTCGTAGTCAACGATAGTTAGCTCCATCAGATACTTGGCCAAAGTATGCTGTTCCACATCAACCTATGAAAGAATAGCCAGGGACAATAAGAATCACAACTCTTTTTGCTATCATGCAAAATTCTGGGTAGGGCTAAAATTCCTTTAACTCACCCTTCTCAAGAACTACCCTATGGGCTCAGTGACTATAGTACAGTGGTTACAGTACCAGCCACATACACTAAGGGTGGCAGGTTTGAACCCAGCCCAGGCCAGCTAAACAACTGCAACCAAAAAACAACAGCTGGGCGTTGTGGCAGGTGCCTGCAGTCACAGCTACTTGGGAGGCTAAGGCAAGAGAATCACTTAAGCCCAGGAGTTGGAGGTTGCTATGAACTATGATGCCACAGCACTCTACAAAGGGCAACATGAAATTGTGTCTCAAAAAAAAAGAACTACCAGGCAGCTCCTGTGGCTCAAAGGGGTAGGGCACTGGCCCCATATGCTGGAGGTGGTGGGTTCAAACCCAGCCCCGGCCAAAAACTACAAAAAAAAAAAAAAAAAAAAGAACTACCCTACGCACACTGTGTTAAAAACTCAGAACCCAAGCACTGTTATCTTAAGAACCAATGAGGTGGGCAGCACCTGTGGCTCAGTGAGTAGGGCACTGGCCCCATATACTGAGGGTGGCAGGTTCAAACCCAGCCCTGGACAAACTGCAACAAAAAATAGCCAGGCATTGTGGCAGGCACCTATGATCCCAGCTACTCAGGAGGCTGAGGCAAAAAATCACCTAAGCCCAGGAGTTGGAGGTTGCTGTGAGCTGTGACATCACAGCACTCTACTAAGGGCGACAAGTGAGACTCCTGTCTCTAAAAAAAGAACAGAAAAAAATATATATAAAATAAAAAAAGAATGGATGAGATGAGCATTAAGACTTAACCAAAAGGATGCTTCCTATCAATTCATAAGCTTTCCTTTAATCAGATCAAGTTTTCTGGGATGAGACATCAAGCAAGAACCCTCTAAGAGAGTTACAAGTACTCACCTCCCCAGCTTTTGATGCGCGCCTTAAAAAGTGCAGTGGCAAGGGTCGACCCAACTCAAATTTCAGTTCTTTCAGAATTAGAGTTTCCATTTCTCGGATTTGGGAACTGGTATAAGCATTGTCTGTGATGTAAACAAAGTCTTCAATATTTGGAGAAAACATCTCCTCATACTTGGAAGCCAAGAGCAGAGCAGTAATCCCAACCAGCTGAAGCTTTTTACGCGAAACTGGCTGAACCTAATTGAAAACAAATGTGTCAAAAGTCACACCTAACAAGCGAATGGAGGCTCTGGGTGGGAGAAGGGTAAAAGGAACCAAGTCCTAAAGAAGTGCATGTAATCTCCACTCATGGCCCTGAGTCTCAAGGGCATAGGAGAGCAGCATGTTCACTGTCGGTTCCATCACTGATCATGGCAACTAATCTAAAATTGACTACTAACTATGTGCCAGGCATGGTGCTCAGAGTCTAACACACTGTATCTCATCCAATCCTCACAAAAAATCCTAGGAAGTCCATATTTTTATCCTTAACTACAATAGGTGGCCTGAGAAGACATCTGGACGCTGGCCCAACATCACTGCGTGGCTGGCAGGGAAGAGTCCGAGGCTGGAGACCAAGCTGCTCCCCCATCACCGTGACTCCAGTATTGGTGGCAGCATGACCTGGCACTCACTAGGGCATGAATGGAGAAGAAGCCAAACAAAAAAGCAAGAATTGGGCCGGGCACAGTGGCTCATGCCTGTAATCCTAGCACTCTGGGAGGCCAAGGAGGGTGGACTGCCTGAGCTCACTGGTGTGAGACCAGCCTGATCAAGAGCAAGACCTTGTCTCCAAAAAAAAAAGTCAGGTGCTGTGGCAGGCACTTATAGTCTCAGTTCCTTGGGGGGCTGAGGCAAAGAGAATCAGTTCAGCCCAAGAGTTGGAGGTTCTGTTAGCTGTGAGGCCACAGCACTCTAACAAGAGCAACAAAATGAGACACGGTCTCAAAAAAAAAAAAAAGCAAGATTCTAGTGGATGGAAAGAAACATTCCCTTAATCCTCACCAAAAGTCTTATTCAGCTTAAAAATCTCCCACCAGTGCTTCACAGTCCAGGGAGAATCTCAGTTTAGGGTAAAAGTATTTCCCTTAATTTCCTTTTATTCTCCCCAAAATGGAACTTCGCTTTTCTTGCTTCAAATTTTATTATTGAAAATTTTCCCTAAAATACCATTGTTCTTTCCTGCCCAAAGAGGAATGCGTACTGAAGACCACAGAAGCTAGAATCACTGAGGATTTTGCCGTATCTCGGTGCCACTATTATAAGCATACTTACTACTATGTTGTTTGGGCAGAATCTCTACTTGACCTAAACCCATGTCATGAATGTTGACTTTTAGTGACTAAATCCTTATCTGCAGGGCTACCATTTGGTGTCTCTTCCCACAGGTCAGTGTTTATCCGTTACCAGTCGATAAACATACTGAAGATCACTTTTGCCTCTTAGCTTATTTTATCACATTCCTCTTTATACCCTAAATTCTCAACTCACTCCACACGCATTCCCCCAATCCTTTTAGAAAACAGTTCTACCTCCTTCCTCTTCTATGATGGTTCAGCACCACAGCTGGCTGGAAACTATGAGGTTCTCTAGCCAAACTCCTCATTTTTCAGGTGAGGAAACTTAGCACCAAAAATACCAAACTTCAGAAATTGCACAAGTAGGGCTGGAAAACCAGCATCCAAAGGCATCAAGGCTTCAAACTGACGTTCAGCCCACCTGACGGAATACTGGCTCTGATGTATGATGGTGTCATGCATTATGTCCCTCCAAGCACATTTTAAAGACTGAGTATATAGAACCACCTGGTGTTGGTTAGTATCACCTAATGCTTAAGCCACCTGGACGACGGCCCTTCATAGTAGCTGCAGTTCTTTGGCTTCTCACAAATTGGCTTTTGGTCCTGTCTTCGGAGGTACCCCCAAAGCAGAAATGCTACATTCAGTGAATCACTGACATGAAGTCCTGGAAGCCACACTTACCTGTAAAAATCGATCCATAATGGCAACACACATGTACAGAGTCTCCTGCAGAAGCCTGAACTTGGAGTGGACTTGTACTAGCCAGTCCACCAGGATGGCACGCATACGTCCATTTATATCTCTTCCATCTAAGAAATGTGGGTTTATCGACTGCAAAACCTGTTGGTGGAATTAAGAGTTTAAAAAAGCTGACCTCATTTCTTTCTCAGCCTTGTGGTAAATTCCACATTGCTTGTACAGCCAAAATGCAAAGGCCTACCCACCTCAAGCTGCCTGAGATACTGGTAAATATCCTTAACGTAGTCACTGCAGAGCTGAGGGTTCTCCCAATCCTCGCTGTCAATATCCTCAATTTTACAGAGCAAGGCATCAGAAAAGGCTTGGCAGAGGTTTTCTTCCTTCATGGAGACATCCTCGGGTGTGGAAGAAGGACGCTACACCAGCAAATTAAAGCACAAGCATTACTCTCTTAGGAGCAGCCTTACCCACAAATACACATGGAGCAACACATCTTAAGTATCAGTAAATATCAGTATCATATGTACTTTTGAAATGTGTTAAAGCCAAATCAAATAAATTTCACAGTAAGAGGTGAATAATTCAAGATATAATAGATGAAGTTCTTAGAAACTTGCGTTAAACTCTTCAGCTTCACTCACAGTGAAAACCCAGGTCCTCCCAGGGGCCTACGGACTCTGGTAACCATGCCCTGGCCCGTCCCCGTCCCTTGCCACCCATCTCCCGCTTCTCTCCTTTTGGTTTGCTTCACTCCAGTCACTGTGGGCAGGCCCCTGTACCCACATGGATAATTCCCTGACCTGTCTTCAAGTGTTGCTTAAATGTTACCTTCTCAGTGAGGTCTATCTTGACTCCTATTTAAAATCATCACCTGCCTGCAATCCTTCTTCCCCATCCCAACATGTTTTTCTTCCTCATAGAACCTATAGCTTCCCAATATTCTATAGTTTTTTTAATGTTTACTATTGTCTATCTACCTCTGCTAGAATGTAAGCTTTATAAGCTTCCATTTCTTTCTTTTTTTTTCTTTTGAAACAGAGTCTCACTACATCACCCTTGGTAGAGTGCTATGGCATCACAGCTCACAGAAACCTCAAACTCTTGAGCTTAAACAATTTTCTTGCCTCAGCCTCCCAACCAGCTGGGACTACAGGTGCCCGCCACAACACCCAGTTATTTTTTTGTTGCTGTTGTAGTTGTCATTGTTGTTTTTAGCAGGCCCCAGCCAAGTTCGAACCCACCAACCCCGGTGTATGTGGCCGGCACCCTAACCACTGACCTATAGGTGCTGAGCTCCATTTCGTTATTTTAATTGGTTTTTTCCACTAAACCAATACACATCAAACACCTGCATAACCCCCAACTAGTAGTAGGTGCCCAATAAATCAAAGAAACTTGACCACTTGGGGTCAAAAGTACTGGAGCTCATCATTCAGTTTGGCTGTAGCCTCTTCTACAAGAATAATGTTTTCCTCTCTCCAACGAATTTACTCTAAATTGAAAATTGGCAACCAAAAAGCAGAAAAGCACATTCCAGTCTATGAGTAAAATAGGACCAGCAAGAAAAGACTTAGCACAGATACAATGCAGTATTTTATTTTTCTATGCTGAGTGGGTGATTATTTATAAAAACCACACAAATAAAAAAGATTTAGAATAAAACAAGTATCTAGTAATGAAGTATAAATAAATCATTGGTTTTAGAAAAAGTATTTCTCAAAGTGAAACCTGACAGGATGCTAGTCTATACAAATATATATTAAGGTAATAAAATATGAACAGAGAAGGTTTTATGATAAAATAATTTTAATTTACATTGAAATGCCATGATTCTAACTTCCAGGCTTAGAAGCAAATACAACAACAACAGCCAAAGAACAGCAGTTCAAACCATGCCCTCCCCTCTTAAATCAAATGTCTTAAACTGAAGGAGGGCCAGGTGAACAAGGGCATGTGAACATGCATGCGATTTATTCAAGAATTAGAGAACCACAAGAGGCTAGAACGAATGTCAAGAGGTCTGTGGGGTGCCAGTGAGGTAAGACCTTCAGGAAGATGAAGAGACAAAGAAAAGCAAGTGCCAAGTTCTGGGGGAAGCACAGAAAATTAAGGCAATTCTGGGAACTGCAAGTAGATTTGGGGATGGCAGGAGGATAGCACGGAAGGTATAAGAAGTTGGGCTGAAGGGTGGTGCCTGTGGCTCAGAAGGGTAGGGCGCTGGCCCCCTATGCTGGAGGTGGCAGGTTCAAACCCAATCCTGGCCAAAAAAAAAAAGAAGTTGGGCTGGAAAGTAAAGCAAGAGCCTTGGTAAGGAGTTGAGATTTTTATCCTCAGGTAAAGTCAAACCATTGAAGGAATTTAGGAGGCGTGACTGGAATCAGAGCTGCTTTTTAATAAGCACACGTAAGGTTAGCTTTTCCCAAAGAAGAGCATTATCACCCTCCATAGAAAAGAGACTCAGTACCACAAGTCTGGATTAAGAAGTTAGAGAAAACCATCATGTTCTTCACGCGTTCTCTGCTCTCCCAGGGATTTGAAATGTTTATCTGTGTCCTATTCAGAACTGCACTTGCTAGGGCCTTTAAATTTAGAAGTACCAATCTATGGCCCTACCACCCTGAACACACCCAATGTCGTCTAATTTAGAAGTACCTGAACGGCCCTCTTTTTGAACTTGAAGATAACTTAATTACCATAAGACCCACTCTAAATTCCTACTCATCTGGTCAGGGAGTTCCCAAGTCCAAAGGGCCAACTGTGCAATCCTCTGTCCACTGCCTGCTGCATGTAAAATTTAAAAACTTTCATCAGCTAGTTAACTATAATAAACTTTTTTTTTTTGGAGATAGAGTCTCACCACTTTTTCGGCCTTGGGAGAGTGTCATGGCATCATATCTTATAGCAACCTCAAAGTCTTGGGCTCAAGCAGTTCTCTTGCTTCAGCCACCCAAGTAGCTGGGACTATAGGCGCCTGCCACAACATACGGCTATCTTTAGACATGAGGTCTTGCTCTGGCTTAGGCTGGTCAGACACAACAAAAAAGTCAGATGAGAAACAAAGAATAGTAACAATGAACTGACTTTTTTTTCTTTTCTTTTGTTTGTCTGTTTTTGCAGTTGTCATTGTTGTTTAGCAGGCCCAGGCCAGGTTCAAACTGGCCTGCCTTGTATATAGGGCCAGCACCCTACCCACTGAGCTATGGGTGGCACCCTTTTTCTGTTTGAGACAGAGTCCTGTTCTGTCACCCCAGGTAGAGTACAGTGGCATCATTATAGCTCACTGAAGCCTCAAACTCCTGGGTTCAAGTGATCCTCCTGCCTCAGCCTCCTGAGTTAGGACTACTGGTGCACACCACAATGCCCAGGTAATTTTTGTGGTAATATTTTTTTTTTTTTTTTTGAGACAGAGCCTCAAGTTTTCACCCTGGGTAGAGTGCCATGGCATCACAGCTCACAGCAACCTC